ATAACATAGGAAACAACCTCTTCTTCACCATCAGAATTGGGAGGGGTGTTATGGTAGTCAAAACTCTCCTCAGTATCACCAAAAGCAGNNANATTTCGTTNCACTCTCAAATCTTCTTCACGTGGCTGATTATGTAGCACATCATCAGTTGAATGCTCTTTTCTGTCTACCACAAACACATCTACAAACTTAGTCCACCGAGTAGCTTCACACATCTTCGTAAATTATGTACTACCATTATACAAACTCTTCCTGTCCTTACCTTCTTCAAATGACATCTTATACCAAAAATTCTTCTCATAGAAGCCTCCACTCAACTGAGTAGACAACATCGTGAACAACTCTTCTGGGTTACATTCTACTATCAAAACATCACCATTCATATAAGCTGTCTCTACCGCATGATTCATCAACCAATTCCCACCATGGTACACAGTGAAGACTACCTTATCAACAAAACTGCAATCAGAATGATAAAACACATCAAAAGCATGTATTTATCTCTCAAATGCATTTCATCGAACACTTGGTGAACTAAATTTGAAATTGTTCTTTATTCATGAAAAGGTGAACAAATACGAACCTATATANGTAAATATATACACATGTATATGGAGTCTAAGATTACTAGAAGAAAACAAAAAGAAAAACTATATACAAACACTTGATAATCGCAAAGTACCTCATTTTTTTAATTGTGAAGAACCCCAATCTGCAACTACGAATTCGATTTTGCAGTGTTGTCGTTTCCTCTTTCTCCTCCCAAATCCTAATTCATCAAATCCTAAATTCCCAGAAATCTGCTTCGCGTTTGTGTTTTCGTGAAAAATTTTTTGTCGAGAGAGATTGTCGTGAAAGAGATGAATGAGAAAATTAGGGATTTTAATTTTTTTTTTCTCCAAATCAAAACGACGTCGTTTTGATCACGTGTACAAAACGACGTCGTTTTACACCAACGAAACCGATCTGCTAATCCGCGTGTCGTCCAGGTCAGCATTCCGTTAACGTTGACTTCGTCGGGGTCTGAATCAACAACAATATCGCGTGTTTGGGTTTTGAATTTGAATTAATTTGTGGTTGAGAGTTAAATTGACCAATGTTACAAGTTGAGGTCCAAAAACATCCGATAACAATAATTCTGGTCCAAAAATGCCGTTTTCCCTGGAATTCATCCATACAAAATAAAGCTAAACCAGCGCTAAACCACGAGGCTCAACAGTAAACTAATTGGTCATAATCGAGATCCACTTGTATGCCTTGCATCACGTTC